CTCCCTCTGCCCCTCCCCCTACTCACACTGGCTCACTCTCAGTGAATGTCCTCATGAGTCTTCGGGTTTGTGACCCCTGATTTAGACCTTCACATATCAGATTTCAACCCGTTTAGGTCTGAAAGCTTCAACGCAAGCTCGTTATTAGCCGCAACCTAAAAGAGGTAATTCTCTGCCAGCCACCCCAGAACCACGTTTGCAAATACTTATCCTAGCACATACTGAAATCGAAGTGATGAATTGAGTCTTGAACCTCCCTCTTAATGAAATCAAGATTTAGAAAAAGCTCTAATGACACAATTTCATAGCTTTGACCTTTAAGCCAAAAAAAATGGGGGGGAGGGAGCCTCTACTTCTTTGCCAAATCTGAAACTCTGTGTACTATTTCACAGCACGCCGATGAATGGAGAAGTATATGCCTTTTTTTAAAACCACACTGAAACATAATCTTTATTCTGACAGTGAATTCTTAAGTCAAAAGCTACATTTCCTTTTTGCTTCCTAATGTTTCTCAATGAGAATGGAGACAATGGTAACGATCTGTCCAAAACTCTTAAGCATCTGTGGGAAGGGGTCCCGTGTTAGGCACATAGAAGGTACTGGATGAGCGTGAACTGAAACTGCACCTGAGTTGCTTGTCCAGGGAACGTCGCCAGTGTGGAACCAAAACAGGAAGGGAAAGCACAGACTTAGTGGAATCCTTTAAACTCTCTTCCTCCATTCCAAACCTATGTTCTTCATAGATACGGCACCATAGGCGGAGTCATAGATAATCTGGACGTAGGGCAGTTAGCCCCTTCCCTTTGATAGTCACATCATCTAACAAACCTTCAGTCCAAACATACAAAGAGGAGGCCAGCCCCGAGGAGCCCCTGGCTGTGGCACCTGAGTTATCTTTCAGCAGGTGTAGGCATTCCGAGCCAGAAAGGCCCGGAGGATGAAGAGACAGCACCTCAGGCGGCCTTGCCAGGAGCCACCGGGTTTCATCCTGGCCTGACCCAGAAAAATCTTATGGAAGAGAACAAGAGGCCCAAGAGCTCTCTGATCTGCTGTCAACCAGCTGCGGGCGGGAGACTGCCAAAGCGCTGCAGTGACTAGGCAGCGCCCCACAGAGCCGTCTGGGAGGGGATTACCAGCCTGATCCCCGGTCTTCAGAGCCAGAAATGACTCAAACTTCACAAACAGCAAAGGCCTGCCAGGGAGGGTGACAATGAGCACTAGAGAGGGTTTTCTTGCCCTCGTTGCTGTCTCCATGGCCCCCCACCCCCCTCACTGCTGTGGCAGAGATTCTGGACAGTGTGCAGCCCGTGAGGTAATCTGAATTCCTTGGCAACCAGCAAGTACCTGAATTCTTTCAAAACCACAGGAATCCAGCAGAGAAGAGGTAAATATCCCTGCGGAGCCAGTGTTAATTGCAAGGAAGGCTACTGAAGAAGGAACTGGGGGTGGGGAAGAAGGGAAAGGCATTACAAATGCTCGGGGGTCTTCTCTGAATTTCTACTGAATAATACGGCTAAAGCGGAAGAAAGGCAGGTCCTGAGTGGGACCTTCTCACTGTCCTTACCTCCCGCCTTCCAGTGTGGACGGGAGTCTCCGGTTCTGTGGGTGAGCACCTTCATTTCCCCCAAGCTGCCAGTGCTACCTACCTTCGGGTGTCGGACAACACATTTGGTGTTCAAGTCAATTTTGTTTTAATGTCTTTTAACTTTTTACTTCTCCTGTTGCAGTGAAAATTTGGCCATTAGCTCTGTTTGCTCGTCAAATCGTTTAGACCACATATTGGATCCACCTAAAACTGTAAAATCCAGGACAAAGTCTTTTTGGATCCCACCTCTGACAAGAAAAAAGAATCTACACCATTTTGGTAGGGAATGGTACCCCTCTCTGGAAACTGAGTGTCCCCTGCTGGTGCAAAGCAGGAACACACTTGTCAAACTCAAAAGTAGGGTGGAACTTTGGGGCAAAAATGCTGGGCCCAAATACGAGGAACACAATTTTTTTCTGAACAGCTCCATATTTCACCCAGGTATAAGAAAATAATGACAGTTTTCCTGTGTTAATAAAACAAGGACAATTGGAAATTATTAATCTAAAAACAAACTATTTCTGGTCTTTTTCTTAATAAGTTTAAAAAGGTAAGAATTGACACAAAATATTTAATTCACAAAACAGTCCTGTGAAATGAACTTAATCTTTATGTCTCCTAACCATTAATTTGAGGCCCAAAACAGAAGTGACACGGGAGAAGGCCCTTCTTTTCCAAAGAGGAAGCCAATTATATTTGCGGCCAGTGCTTTCTGTTTAGGAAAAATTACGGTTTTCCTTGTTGACCCTCAAAGTAAAATGGCCTAGTGATCTCATCCTAAACTGATTATCTTCAGTAATGTCTACAGCAAACACACGTGACCCAAAATTACCAGAGGCTCCAGATTAGGAGACGCTATAGACTATTGTTGAATTTAATGACACAGTTGAGCAGATTCTGAGGATTAAAAAGAAGCAGATGAATGCCAAGATACATAGTGAGTTAAGACACAGGAACTTGGGGGCGCCTGGGTGGCTCAGTCGTTAAGCATCTGCCTTCGGCTCAGGTCATGATCCCGGGGTCCTGGGATCGAGCCCCACATCGGGCTCCCTGCTCAGCAGGAAGCCTGCTTCTCCCTCTCCCACTCCCCCTTGCTTGTGTTCCTTCTCTTGCTGTGTCTCTCTGTCAAATAAATAAAAATCTTTATTAAAAAAAAAAAAGACACAGGAACTTGGGCACATGGAAGTTCCTGTGTCTAGCAGTGCAGCCACACAGGACTCACTAATAGCCCATCCTACCGCACCATCCTCGGGCAAAGTGTTGATATTCACCTATACTTTTAGATTAACTGAGCCAAAGCCCTGAACAGTCCTATGATTTGGTTCAATTTGGTCTGAGTTTTTAAAAAACTGTCTTCCAAATTATTCTGGGGGAAAAAAAAAAAGCATCCATTAAAAAAAAAGTATACCCACACCCACACCCACACATACACACACTCAGTTCCTGCTGGAGGCAAGGGAAGACGGTTACTCAATTCAGTGGATTCTGACTTCCAACACACACCCGGTAGCCAAAGCACTCGCCTATCTGTAGTAGATTCTGTAATGAATGTTGTAGTGCTCTCATTTCATATCTGAACCACTGAGGCCTTAAAACTATGCTAAATTTTACCAACAGAGAGGGCTACTGATACCGTGAGTACAATGCCTTTGGAATAATACATAGAACATGCTGGTATGATATCCTTGAGAAACAGCAGGTGTAACCTTGAAGTCTTTTCCCTATTCAAGAAGTTCAATTTGTGGCAGGACATAATCAGTTCCTGAGAAGAGCACAGGAGGCAAGATGGGGTGAGGATGGAGAGAAGGAAGGGCTGGAGAAGCTCATGCTATACAAGAGGGAAAGCTCAGGTATCTCAACTTACAAAATGGAAAACCCTCAGCACCTTATACCCCTGAGCAGAAGGAAAGGGTATCTTTTACCTTCTTTTTGATCTACATAGTATGGGGACTCAGCTTTTAAACCTATACTTCAAAGTCTGAGAGCACATGTGTCTACAAACACGACAGAAAACTGCCCGCCTATGAAAAGCTGATTAGGGCTAGGAGGCAGGGTGTGCTCAGATGACTGGTTCAGCCCTTACCTAAAAACTGAGAAAGACTTTAGTTTCCCCCTCCTTTCCAAGGAACACGAGTCCAGAACCATGGAGCTTCGGTAGCCTCCGGTGCTCCTCACGCTCAAACTCAGAAATCTTTTATGACCATGTTTCTGAATGCTGTCGCTGCCACCTAGAGGTGAAGGGGAGACTCACCTCAACCAGCTACAAGCTGGTTAAAGGTGCTCACCCTGATTCTAGTCACAGGATACATCAAAAAATGTGAGTCTATGACAGAATTAAAATAACATTCTAAAATAGCAGCTTCCAGAGGACAATAATTCATGTCAAAGCACCTAAACTTAAATAGGTAGCCTTCTTTTAACCATGATATTTCCCATCTTCCAAGTGCATTTTTTTAAAATACACAAATACAGACCAGGCTTTTTTAGCTTGTCATGGCTGACTGCCGTGTCCTATAAGGCCACTATGCAGAAAAGGAACTTCAGGGCAAGCTAGTTAGTAAATAGATTTATATATTAGTTTTGTGGGGGAAAAGAACACAAGCACAGCAAAGTTACATATTTACTTTAAACAATTTAAAGGGCCTATGGAAAACAATGTCACCCGTAAAATTCTGTGGATGGGGGTGGGGGGACACTTCAAACTATTATAACTTAAGCTTAATTTTGTAAGTAAGTCACATTACCTTAAAACCTAAAAAGTACTTCAAGAGAAACAAAATGTATATACAACCACTGTAAAGTGTATTACTTGCAGGTGAAAAAAAAAAAAAAAAGCAGCTAATGTCCCCAAAATACAAGAGGACAACAAAGAGGGCATGAAACAGCTCAGGCTATGAGCTCTGGAGTGAGATCCACGAGTTCAAATTCCCATTCCACTACCATCCAGATGGGAGAGCTCTGAAAAGTGACCAAGTTCCCTCGCCCCTTGAAGCCTGTTTCCCCAACCGCAAAACTGCATCAACTATAAGGCTATTGTGAACACTGAAATAAATGTCTGGTATATAACAGGTCAATCAATATGGGATTCTTTTTTCCTAGATCAGTTGTGAAGACCAATGATAAATTATCTTAATACACTAGGGTCATCATAACAATCACCATTGCATGAAAATACAATGTGATCCCGGATCTGTGGTTCTGAGAAACGTGTGTGTTTGCATACAGATGCATGTTCCTATGTGCAGAGAAGCAAGTGAGACCATAAAGTAACATGACTGATGTTCTGGAATCTGAAGCCCATCTGGGTACACTCTAATTTCCTGAGTTGAACATAAGAGAAAGAAACAGCCTGATCTTAACACACTCCTTAATGGATCCACTCTGATAAACACCCTTCTCCCCAAAAGTCTCTTACCTAGCCAATCCTTCTTCATAGAGATAGATAACAAGAGGATCATAGGAAGTCACAAGCACGTAGAGGCGCACATCAAACTTGAAATCTAGAAAAAAAAATTGGGGTTCATTTGTTTCCTGTTACAGAATGAACAAGGCAATGTAACAAAGAAATATGACAGAAAGAACAGTCTTCCTCTCTCCACAAAACACATATTGCCTGCACACCTTGCCCTTTAAGGATAAATAATTACCCATCTAGATAGAGATAGAGCTATATCATATACATACACTGAGAAAGATATACAGACTGCAGAAAGATTACATATACAGACTGCGCGGCTCTCACACAGATGCACTATAAAGCACCTTCTTTTCTAGTCTCTCATTTCATCTTCAAAATAATCCCAGGAGGTAGGTAAGGCACCAGCCTCATCTCTAGAGCCACAGCAGCCAAGAATTCCACCCTAGCTTCATAAAGACTTACTAGAGAAGCCTGTGAAAATATTCTTTAAAATTAGCAAGATCGAGCCCGACAAGGGCCCAATCTCAACTCACCGTCTATAAGCAGGGGGTTGTTAATGTAGCGGGAGACCAGGATGTTCTCCTCCAGGGAAATCTGGTTCGGCTATTGAGTAAAGAGAAAGAATAAAAGGACAGAAATCCTAACTCACGGTAAGGGAGCAGAGTTCTTGACGTTTCAGAAACAATAAGGTAGAAGACTACAACTCTTAAGAAACGTTTTCCTCCAACCTACCCCTACATTCAACTGATCGGGTAACACACCACTTATAAACACTATGGGTATCCAATTACAATGGGGGAAAAATATACCACTTCTCACATTATAAAGAGAGCAATAACAGCTTTAAAGATTTATATACATGATATTAACTAGTTACATGCCAAGAAAATAAAAGCTACTTAAAAAATAAATAAAAAGGTGCTTTCTCCCAAATGTAAAGTACGATGGAAATTTAAAATACTACCATTATTCTGAAGTAAAGGCTTTCATCGAGTTGCTTAGAGAACTTACAGATCTTTCCCCAATGGATCCTGGCATTTTCCCTGAGAAATGGAACGGATGTTTCATTGATTCATTCAGTTGTACTTCCTATACTACTAAAGACTGAACTAGATCTTTTAAAGAGTTTTTCAATGAGAAATGAGTTTATACAATAAGTAATCGTGAGTACTGTTTGATACTGTATAAAGTACTGAGGATCCAGTGAAGACAGATACAATCCCTGCCCTCACAGAGCCTAATCCATACTACCAAAGAGTTTAATATTTAGGTAAAGGGGCAGCAAAATGTAAAAGTTAAAGGAACACAAAGCAGCATATCTGCAAGTGCAAGACGTGAGACTGCACAAGTACAAGTGCAGAACCAGTTAGGTGGATCAGTGGGGGAAGGCCTGTTCTGGAAGAGTAGGTGCAGAAGTGAGTGTTGAAAGCTACTGAGCACGTGGTGGAAAGGAAAGGAAGCTGCCATGGAAAGGTGGCCGACACAGAGTTCAGTAGAAAGGAGAGCGGGCAGATCACTGACCTGGGGCTCAGAGACTGACCTGAGGAATGATGAAAGGTATGGTTAGAATATTAGGAGGGAGGGACCCCACCGGCAAAGGGATTTGAACCCCCGACAAGGGGAGTTTAGCCTGAACACGGTGGGAAGGAGGAAAGGACTGTGGATTCTTAATAGTAAGATTAAAATACATGGAATAGCACAACTCTAAGTGAGATTAGATTAAAAGAAAAATCAGCTGGAAGTCACCACAATCTAAACAGGACAAAAGGACTCCAAAAGGGAAGTGGCTAAAATAATAATTGTAATGATAATGGCTACAGTAGTAGCAACAAAAATAACTATTAACATTTGCAGGGAAAAAAAACGTAATACATGTACTGAACATTTGCTACATGTCCAGCGTTGTTCTATGTTGTTCTATGTTCTAATTCTTCGCAAGTATTATTTCCTTTAGTCCTCACCCAACCCGATGAGGCAGGTATATTACCATTCAAATATTAGAGATGAGGAAAAGAGTCAGAGAGGGTGACAAAGTCACACAGTGACAGAAGAGCGCTGGAACCCAGCCAGTCGGCCTCAGAGGCTTAACTCTTTTTTTTTTTTTTTTAAGATTTTATTTATTTATTTGACAGAGAGAGACACAGTGAGAGAGGGAACACAAGCAGGGGGAGTGGGAGGAGAAGCAGGCTTCCCGCGGAGCGGGTAGCCTGATGCGGGGCTCGATCCCAGGACCCTGGGATCATGACCTGAGCCGAAGGCAGACGCTTAATGACTGAGCCACCCAGGCACCCCACAGAGGCTTAACTCTTAAAGTACTATTCACATCTTTCCCCAAAGTTCTGACCTAAAATACCATCCCCCCAACTCAAAAGACTGTCTTTATAATGCATCTGCTACCCCAAATACTACAGTTACCATAAAATAAGGAAAATTTTGTGCCCTGTAACATCATGCACAACCACAATGAGCAAGTCCAGAGTCAAGATAAAGAGATTCCCTGCCCACCTCCCACTGCTGCATCACACGGGCCCGGCGACAGTCAGTGCTGATTCAGACTCAGGGACCTGATCGCCCACACCACTTCCGGACTCGCTTACATTTCTTGATCACTTTCTCACAAGTACTATCTCCATTTTGAGTCAGCTTAGTATGTAAGAATTGATGAATCATAGTACAAAGGAGCAAGCCTCAGGCTGTGTTCCAAACCTAAAATAAAACAAATGCAGACCTCTTCCCACTGAGTAACACCTACAGGCTGCAATAGATACGTGACCATCCAACCTTTCTCCGAACCAGAGAGTACAAATGGTGATGGCCATCCTCCATGACACATCTAAAATCCTCGCCCACTTCCTCTTTCCCCTCCCTCATCATACACACTTGTCCCTTGAGTTATGCATAGTCTCGCACATAATTTAACTTTAATATTTGTTCAATGGTCCGAACCTCTCATTTCTACCTACATTAGGAATTGAAATGTAAGCTCATCAAAGAAAAGAATGGTTTGGGTATAGTTTCTTTGTATAGTGTTACATTACATACTAAGAAGCAACTAATGAAAGCTTTTTGATATTTTCAAGCCTGTTTCCTTTTCATCATTCCCCAACTAACTCATTTCAAATGATTTCAATTCCAAGCTCAAATTGCCCTCCCAAGTACGCTGATGCAAGATCTAAATTGTTGGGAAAGCTGGAAACACAACCATTTTTCTAACTGGACTTTAAGATGAAAGCTCATGGTATCTGTTAAGTTATTATAAGGCAGAATGGTACAGTGGTTAAGAGTGTTAGGCTCTGGAATCAGCTAGACCTGAGTTATAATCTTGACTCTATCACTTACTTAAGGAAGTAACAGTAACTACCTAGGGTTCTTCTAAAGACTAACTGAGTTTATATTTGGAAGGTACCGTGACAGGCACACATTAAACGCTCAAGATATATCAGTTATTACTCTTAGTGCAAACTCAATAGTACCTCTATGGTTCTACTAAGTTCCATAACTCAACAGCCTTCATCACGGCACACCACGTGCCCTCCCACTCAGAGCTGCGCACTGCACTAAGTTACAAGGAAGATACATTAGCTTAGTATCAGTGTTAGTATTAAGAGATAATCCCTATTCCTCAAAAGGTTTTAAGGAGTGGCAGCACCTGGCACACAGCAAGGACTCACTAAATATTTCCTGAACGATGAGAAAAAATAGTGAGCACTTAAGATAACAACGTATCAACAAGTAGAAACAAGAGCACCATAAAGAATTATATTCACAGGGGCGCCTGGGTGGCTCAGTTGGTTAAGCGACTGCCTTCGGCTCAGGTCATGATCCTGGAGTCCCGGGATCGAGTCCCGCGTCAGGCTCCCTGCTCAGCAGGGAGTCCGCTTCTCCCTCTGACCCTCTTCCCTCTCATGCTGTCTCTCATTCTCTCCCTCTCAAATAAATAAAATCTTAAAAAAAAAAAAAAAAAGAATTATATTCACAAATATGGGGAGTAAATAGAATGACCTAAATATTCTCCTGCTACTTCAAAATCCCAAAGAAAATATTAATATTGTATTTACCATGGATAATGTGTGAGACAAGGATGAAGAAATTTGACCTCCATGATCAAATTTGTACCTTAAGCAGAAAGCGCGAGATCTTTCCCTCAACTTGAATATACTAAACTGGGAAAATACAGCACTTAGTCATGGTTACTGAGGGAGCTGGGGCAAACACAACTCTGCTCCTCTATGCTCTACTTCTAGAGGTAAAGAGCACATCTTAAGAAACCATGTTAGCTGCTAGGCCAAGATACTTCCGTCTTTAAGAGCTCACACTTCTCTCTTCGGTATTTCATAAAAGTAACCCTTTTTCTGTCCTTTATCCTGTTCTTGTAATGGTAAAAGTTGCTATTTGCAGACATTTTCCAAAAGGTTATGACTATTATTGGGAATGTTTAATAAGAGGCCCTCTCCAGTGGGGAAGACAGGGAAAGATGTTTTCATTTGGCCCTCACACCTAACTCCACCCACCCCCCAAGTCCCTCACCCACTCCCGTTAGTTCTGCTCACAGACCCTCCGCCTGAGCCCTCCCTCCCGCACCCCCCCCCAACTCAAATCTAAAAGGAAAGCAGGCAGCGGCCTTGGAAAGAGTTACTTCATCCAGTTGGCTAATGGGTCACATATTCCATGGGAAAGGATCCAGGTATGGAAAAGACAGGATGGTGAGGCCTTGTGTGTAAGGACAGAGAGAGGAGTATTAACTACATGGTTTGTAGGTCTGAGTAAAAGGTGATAAAAATTCCAGTTTTTGGAAGGAAATGGGAATATTTTCCCATTATGTCCACACGTTGCCAGCTCTGCTGGTGCCTGCTGGCATCTCCCCACGCTTCTGTCTGGCACCTCCACCAAATACCTCAAAGAATCAGACTCATTCCAAAGCTTCACTGAGGGGGAGGAGGGAGGCAAAGGGTCCTGCCAAGTACTTTGATCTATGCAGGGGGTCTCTAGGGATTCAACCCAGGGAGAGGTGGGAGGGAGAAGGAAAGCCTGCCAAACGCATTCTCTAAAGACTTGTCACCCTCTATGAGACTCCATCCAGGGAAGAGTTAGGGCACCGGGTTCTCAGCCCCACCAAGGAAAGTTTAACTTTTCTATTCTTTATGATGTTGGTTTCAAAATAACAAATCACTAGAGCAAAAGTGCATTCCAAAAGAAAAACATCCCAGATGAGCTGGAAATAGATCCTATTCTTTTTGACTCATGTCTAAGAAAATAAAAAGCAAACTTGTACCATAGTTGACTTTCAATAGCAATTCCATTTGGCAGCTAAAACCCAAACCCAAACCGGTGCTGTCTGTGAGATTCAAACAACACTGGAGCTCCTGGCATGGAACTGAAGGAAAAGCTGTCAGACAGGAGCCTTCACGCCAAGGTCAGGACAGAAACAAGAAAAGAGAGAGCCAAGGCATATGACCAGGGCCTTCTGTCACAAGAGACTCAAGGGCAAAAGGCCTCCAGAGTGACCCAGGGCCAGGTAACAGGACTTGTAGCCTGGGCCTCAGGCTCAAGTAGCTCCTGTATCAGAACGAGATCCTGTAAGGTCTGGCCATCAGTAGTTACCGAACAGTTTTCAGTCCAGACTGAATTTAAGGATTTTTCAATGTGAAAGACCTCTCAGAAAGTTAGTTTCTGCACATGTAGGAAATAGCTCAGACCATGTAAAAAGAGAAATGGGGAATTTTAAAATAGAGTACTTGACCACACACACACATATCTACCTCCCCTTCTTCCCTTCCACAGTCCCACCGGAAGGACAGAGAAGATATTTTTTAAAAGAATGAAATGATAACAAAGTTAGAACACATTTAAAGGAGCCAATAAGTAAGACCAAAAGTTGAAGGAAATTCTGAAAAATGGAAAGCAGAAGGGATCAGGTTGAGAAAATAGAGCAAAGGAAGGAAAATATCAGAGGTGAGAATGATCTTCTCAAGGAGCCTCTGAGAAGTTCTAAGCTGGAAGGAAACAAACCTGAGGAGCAGGAGTGGGCCAAGGAACAAGAATCAGATAATTAATTCTTAATTAATTCAGTGGGCCTCCTCCAATACCCAGAGCTTTGCCCTCAGGATAAAACCTAATGATAATACTCTGAGGAGGACATCTTGCGTGGGATGACAAAAGAGTGGAATTTGAGGCCGCTCTATCCCTACAATAGACAGAGAGAGGAAAAGACAGGAAAGGTAGTGCTGCCCAGAAGGGAAATCACCAAAATCTTCCTCTGTATTCACAATAAGGCGTTCAACCCAGGGAGAGGTGGGAGGGAGAAGGAAAG